TGCCCCATCCGGTGTGGCAGGCCCTGTCCCGATTCCCGTGCAATTTAATCGGATTGCGCCTCGGCGAAAGTTTTCTGACCATGAGGCGCAGAGAACAGTGGCGTGTTTCATGGCAGCGCACGTGGCACCAACTGCCTCGAGAGTTTTTGTTACCAGCTCCTTCGGTTACAGCTCGAATACGGACTCTACTAATCTGCTACCCGTTGCCGTCCTTGCCAGTTCTCCGTTTCGTTTGAGAACATGAATCCAAAAAAAAATCTCTCAGGAACAAGCTGCTCTTGACCATCGCTAAAGGAGGCGTTAGTTCTAGCAGCTTCAGGGCGAGCTTTACTCGCCAAGTGTATTTAACAGATTGCCAGGCCTGAAAACTGTGTGTCAGACCCAAGAAGTCACTATTCTCGAGGCGCTATTCTTCCTCTGTTCATAGCAGGTGCCTGTTAGGCGAGATGGGTAGGTCGAACGGGCATGGATATCACTCAGTCGATCTTGAAACACGCGCTTCGATTGCGGACTCCGTGTCCCACGCATCTCACCTCACTTCGCGATCGTCGCATGCGCTCCCCGTCCCGTCGCCAACGTCGTCAGCGTCGCACCTGTCGCGCGTCTCTCGTGTTCTTTCGCACATGCTGACGGCTTTCGGGATTAAAACGGGAGGCTCGTCTCCAAACGAGGAAAGAAGCCCACTATCGGGTTATTCTACGGACTGGTCCCACTGCGTGCTCGTTTCCGTCATCCTGTGCCTCCTCGTACTCGTTATAGCCGAATCGTTACTGCTATGGGACACCAGAAGCGATGGGGGAGCGGAAGGCATCAGCGCGGTGGGATTGGCGGCAGCAGGGGGAGCGGGACTAAGGTTCAGAGGCGAATGGGGCTCTCTTTTCCCCATGCCGCAGCTGCGAAAGCCGGCGCTGCTTGTTGCCTACCCTTCAGACGCAACAGGGGATAACGCCGCCACCGGCGTCACCGCTACTACTGGCGCTACCGCTACTGGCGCTGTTGCTGCTGGCGCTGTTGCTGCTGGCGCTACCGCCATTCGCGTTGCTTCCGGCGTTTCCGATTGCGGTGTAGCGCAACCCAGACGACGACGAGTATGCTGGACGTCGTCAGGAGGTGAGATATTAGTTAGCATGGGCAGTTACCCTTTCTTGCGGCGCCTGAAAAGCAAGTGAAAGCTAATAATCTTAGAAATAACATCCTATCTCGGAAATTCGTCCAAATGCGGCTCAACAGTTCGATTTAGAGCGGTCTTTTTGAAGTATGGAATGGTTTGGTAGGGTGTTTTGCAAAAAACCGCACCTCACCGCATTTTTGCACCGCCTAAAAATACGATTTTCATGAGACCCCCCCTTTCCCCCCCGTTGCCTCTTGTATCCATCTGTCTCCGCAGATTATGCATCCCCGTCCCCCGCGGGAGTGGTGATCCACGGCTCAGGTTGCGCCACGTGTCTGCGCGGGCAGCGCTGCTCCTTCCGCGTGTCCGTGCGCGCGCCCGCGCGCTGGGCGCGGGTGCTGCGGGCGAACAAGGAGAGCTGGTGGAAGCGCGACCTTGCTCTGGGCTTTGAATGGGCTTGAACATTCACAGGTGAAGTCCCCTCAACTCCCCCCCACTCTTCCCCCAACCCACACCCCCTCCCCCCACAACCAACCATCGGAGCCAGACCACCAACCAGTCGGAGGAGTTCCCTGGAGTCTCCCCCACTGCTTTCGAGGTGCCTCTAAAGTCCTTTGTCCCCAACCTCGCCCTTCCCTCCCCACTCTTCCCCACCCCACCCTCCCCTCCCCCCACAACCAGCCATCGGGGCCAGACCACCACCCGATTGGAGCAAATCTCTCAAGTCTCCCCCACTGCTTTCCAGGCGCCGCAAAAGAGTTCTTTGTTTCCCTCAACTCTTCCCCCCCCTTCCCCCCCCTCTTCCCCCACCCCACCCTCCCATCCCCCCACAACCAGCCATAGGGGCCAGACCACCAACCGATTGGAGAAATTCCCTGAAATCTCCCAAACTGCTAACGTCACGCTCTTTGATGGAGGCTACTGGGCAGCTTCCTTCTGCCGCCAGCCCCTCAAGGCCCTCCGACTGCACCTCCAGGAGTTTGTGCGATGGGCGCTTGCCGCCGCGCCCGCGAAAGGGAGGGTTATTTTCCGAACTATCCCGTCGTTTCCGGTGGCGGGTGAGCGGTGCAAGTCGTGGTACCCCGGGCCGAGTTCTAATAGGGTGGTTATGGCGATTAATGCGCTGCTGAGGCATATAGTGGAAGGGGGGAGAGAGGAGCTAGTGTATCTTGATTCTAGCTTGCAGGTAATACCCGAAGACTCTGAGGAGGAGGGAAGAAACGCGAAAGGGGAATCAGCATCAGCATCAGCATCAGCATCACCATCGCCAGCATCAGCACAATCCGCTGAGCTGGCAGCGCTACCCGCGGGGGCAGCAACAGTGCTGGACACGTGGCAGGTGGACGGGCCTCGGTATATGGACACAGCGCTGCCCTATGATCATCACTACTCGGCCATGAAGGTCACAGCGAAAGGCGCAGTGGTGATCGGGGAGGTGGGAGAAGCCCAATTGCGGGTCTTCATTCACTACCTGCTGCATCTGCTGCCCCCACTCACTCCACGCTAGTCTACTGCTGCTTGCTTTCTTGCTTGCACTGATGGTGCAGCCGACAGCACCAGGCGCCGTGGTGACGGGGGAAGTGGGGGAGGCCCAATTGCGGGTGCTCATTCACTATCTGCTGCACATGCTGCCCCCACCCACTCAACACTAGTCACTAGTGCTCTACAGCTGCTTGCTTGCGCAAGTGCGTGTCTTCATTCACTACCTGCTGCACCTGCTGCCCCCACCCACTCCACTCTAGTGCTCCATAGCTGCTTGCATGCCCATGAAGGAAGGCGCAGTGGTGACGGGGAAGATGGGGGAAGCCCAATTGTGGGTCTTCATTCACTACCTGCTGCATCTGATGTTCCCATTCTGTGCTACCGCACTCTAGCTGTTCTGCTCTGCTCTGCTCATTGCTGCTCCGCTCTGCTCTCCTCAACCAACGACCACCATCTCCACACTGCGACCAAAAGAAGAAGGCGGCGGTGGTGATGGGGGACGTGGGGAAGGCGCAAGGGCGCGTCTTGCTTTCATCATGGTACCGGCTGCACCTGCTTCCTCCACTCACTCCATGTCATGCCAAAGTGATTTATAGCTGCTTGTCTGCACCTACAGGGTTCGACTGCTCTGCCGTGCTCTGCTCTGCTGTGCTCTGCTCTGCCGTGCTCTGCTGTGCACTTCCCTTCCATGCACCTACGGGGGTTTCCTGCTCTGCTCTTCCCTTCCCTGCACCTGCATGGCTCTCTGACTTCTCTTCTCTCTTCACTCTCTTCTCTTCTCTCGTCACTTCTCTCTTCTCTCTCTTCACTTCTCTCTTCTCTTCTCTCTTCACTTCTCTCTTCACTTCTCTCTTCACTTCTCTCTTCACTTCTCTCTTCACTTCTCTCTCACTTCTCTCTTCACTTCTCTCTTCTCTTCTCTCTTCACTTCTCTCTTCACTTCTCTCTTCACTTCTCTCTTCACTTCTCTCTTCTCTTCTCTCTTCACTTCTATCTTCACTTCTCTCTTCACTTCTCTCTTCACTTCTCTCTTCACTTCTCTCTTCTCTTCTCTCTTCACTTCTCTCTTCACTTCTCTCTTCTCTTCTCTCTTCTCTTCTCTCTTCACTTCTCTCTTCACTTCTCTCTTCTCTTCTCTCTTCTCTTCTCTCTTCTCTTCTCTCTTCTCTTCTCTCTTCTCTTCTCTTCCGTCACTTGCCCTCATTTCCAGCCCAGACTCTAGCGCCTCTCATCCATTCACACCACCTATACCCTGGCCTGGCTAACAACGAATGAGTACCGTAGGTAATCTCTAGGGACATTACTGGCATCAGGTTTGAATCATAGTCAAAATCGCATAGTACACTAACATTTACAGCGTCCAAGTGCACCTGTTTGACACCGCAGCTAGCAAACAACTTATGACCCTAAAGTGTAGCACCCTAACCAGCATTATTGTATGCCGCTGTAGCACCCTAACCAGCGTTATTGAATGTGTAGCACCCTAACCAGCATTATTGTACACCCTCAAGTGTGGCACCCGAACTTATTCAGTGGCCTTGACTAATTTGCTTGCTGGAGGCCTTATGAAGTGGCTGAAGTAGCCAGTTGACATCACATGAACATCCAGCGCGGGAAGGGAGGAGAGCAGAGTTGCACCCTCACCATTATTCTATGCCCCTCAAGTGTAGCACCCTACCTAGCCTATGCAGTGGCCTGGGAGAATTTTCTCGCTGCTGGAGGCCTTATGAAGTGGCTAAAGTAGCCAGTTGACATCACATGAACATCCAGCGCGGGAAGGGAGGGGAGCAGAGTGGCAGGTGCAGGTGTGTGCAGCGCAGCACCCGACCAGAAGCAAGCAGTGCACTCAGATGCAGGGATGGCTGTATGTGAACCGAGGAGGGGTGGTGCTGGCCGTGGTGAGAAGAGCGAAGGAGAGGAGAGCAGAGTGGCAGGTGCAGGCATGTGGAGCGCAGCAGCCGACCAGAAGCAAGCAGTGCACTCAGCTGCAGGGATGCCTGTATGCCAACCGAGGAGGAGTGGTGGTGGCCGTGGTGAGAAGAGCTAAGGAGAGGAGAGCAGAGGCAGGTGCGCACACCGCACAGCACAGCACACAGCACAGCACAGCACAGCACAGCACAGCACCGCACAGCACAGCACCGCACAGCACCGCACCGCACTGCACAGCACTGCACCGCGCAGCACTGCTATTCAGCACAGCCATTGACCGGAAGATGGGTTGGAGAGGAACCAACCATGGCAGGTCGGGGAGAAACCAAGTGGATGTGCTGAGCTGGCAAGCAGCTAGAGTGCGGTAGCGTGGAGTTGGGGGTGACAGGCCTCCTTCCGTGATTGTTGGTTGCCTCCTTCCGTCTCCTTCTTCCTGACCCTTCTCCTCCAAACATCTCTGCCTCCCTCCACCAGGCAGCTAGCGCGCACTAGCATGAACTGGGGGCAGCAGGTGCAGCAGGTAGTGAATGAATGCGCGTATCTGTGCTTCCCCCACCTCCCCCACCATCACAGTGCCTGCCTCTGTGGGTTTCACCATGGAGTAATGGTGGTCGTTGGGCACGGCTGTGTCGGCATACCGAGGGGCGTCCACCTGCCACGTGTCCAGCACTGTTGCTGCCCCTGCTGGTAACGCTGCCAGCTCAGCAGATTGTGCTTCTGCTGCTGCTGCTGCTGCTGCTGCTGCTGCTGGTGGTGGTGGTGGTGGTGGTGATGATGATGTTGTCGATAATGCTGAGGATGATGGTGACGATTTGCTGCTGCTCTCACCGCTGTCACCACCATCACCACTACCACCCCCAACACCGCCAGCAGCACCAGCAGCTGCAGCAATCTCATCCGCCTCTTCTATATCCACTCCCCCATGCTTCTCAGCCGCCCCATTACTCTCCGCTGCTCCATTGCTCTCCGCTGCTGCATTGCTCTCATCTCCTGCTCTCCCTGTGCCCTCTCCCTCCTCAGAGTCCTGCGGTAACACCTGCAAGCTCGAATCAAGATACACAAGCTTCTCTATCCCTCCTCCACTTCTCCTTCCTTCCCCACCAACATCCCTCCCTCGTATCTCCTCTCCCCACCATGCCTTCAATCCTTCAGCAACATTCCCCTCCTCCCCCACTCCTCTCCGTTCCCCCTCCACTCCTCCCCCCTGCACTATCCTTTTCAGCAGCACATTAATCGCCATAACCACCCTGTTCGAACTCGGCCCGGGGTACCACGCATTACACCGGTCCCCCGCCACCGGAAACGACGGGATAGTTCGGAAAATAACCCTGCCTTTAGAGGGCGCGGCGGCAAGCGCCCAACGAGCGAACTCCTCGAGGTGCAGTCGGAGGGCCTTGAGGGGCTGGCGGCAGAAGGAAGCTGCCCAGTAGCCTCCCTCAAAGAGCGTGACGTCAGCCGTGGGGGAAATTTCCGGGAATTCCTCCGACCGGTTGGTTGTGACCCCTCGGTGGCTGGAGGGGAAAAGGGTGAGGAAGGAAGGAGTTGGGGGAGATGTTAGCCCAATACTTTTCCCGTGAGATAAGGAATCTTCTGTGGCGAGTGAAATCAGTGGTGCAGATCTTTTGAGACGTCTCAAAAAGAAATCAATTGTGCAGATCTCAGGAAATTCCTCCGATTGATTGGTGGTGACCCCTTGGTGACTGGTAGGATAGTGCGGTTGCTGCTATCAGTCGCTTCAAACACCAGGGTTGTCCTGCCACCGCCGCCCATTGCAGTACACGTGGGAATACCTCTGAATATTCAAGCCCATTCAGACACATTCAAAGCCCAATCAAACCCATCCAAAGTCTACTGAAACTCATCCAAAGCCCATCAGGAGACTCACGTGCAGCCGAACTCCCCGTTCTTATAGATACCATCGATCCAATAGAAGTTAATCCTCAGCGTGCGGTTGCTGCTGTCTCTCGCATCAAACACCAGGTTGTCCTTCCACCGCCGCACATTCGGGTCCGCCTGGGCCGTGAGCAAGTAGTACAGATGTGCCGCCAGGAACCGCTGGTGACTGTCGCCCACAATGCTGATTTCATGGATACCCCGGTCGTGTAACGCGCCTATCCACTCGGATGGGGGGATTTCGCGGGCGGCGCACTGGTAGAAAGCCCACCTGGGGGGATGGGAGGGGGAGGGGGAGGGGGAGGGGGAGGGGGAGGGGGAGGGGGAGGGGGAGGGGGAGGGGGAGGGGGAGGGGGAGGGGGAGGGGAAGAAAAGGGGGAATAGAAGCAGCTGGATAATACGGTCCGACTTTTGAGAAGTCTCAAAAGGCAGCTGCACCCATCCTCACCCATTTGCACATACCTGAGTGACCCATTCGCTTTCACCACCCATCGCCCCATCATGGACGTCCCAACACACGGAGTATCCGACCTATCTTGCACCCCCCACATACACGCGCTTCACCCGTTTGCACCCATCATCACCCATCTGCACCCAGATAAGCCCATCTAAACGGACATACCTGAGTGACCCATCTGCTTTCACCACCCATCGCCCTGGCACTGACGTGCCATTGCACGGAGTGTCCGGCCAATCCTGCACCCCGCACACACAACGCTTCACCCATCTGCACCCATGCTCGCCCATTAATACCTGAGTGACCCATTCGCATTCACCACCCATCGCCCCGGGCACGGACGTGCCACTGCACGGAGTGTCCGGCCAATCCTGGTTTTTGAGAATTCTCAAAAACCAGCTAGTGTCCGGCCAATCCTGCACCACACACACACACCCTTCACTCATCTGCACCCATTTGCACATACTTGAGTGACCCATTCGCCTTCACCACCCATCGCCCCGGCACTGACGTGCCATTGCATGGTTGCACCCCAAACATCACACGCTTCACCCATCTGCACCCAGCCGCACCCATTTGCACCCAGCCGCACCCATTTGCACATACCTGAGTGACCCATTCGCCTTCACCACCCATCGCCCCGGCACGGACGTGCCACTGCACGGAGTGTCCGGCCAATCCTGGTTTTTGAGAATTCTCAAAAACCAGCTAGTGTCCGGCCAATCCTGCACCACACACACACACCCTTCACTCATCTGCACCCATTTGCACATACTTGAGTGACCCATTCGCCTTCACCACCCATCGCCCCGGCACTGACGTGCCATTGAATGGTTGCACCCCAAACATCACACGCTTCACCCATCTGCACCCAGCCGCACCCATTTGCACATACCTGAGTGACCCATTCGCCTTCACCACCCATCGCCCCGGCACTGACGTGCCATTGCATGGTTGCACCCCAAACATCACACGCTTCACCCATCTGCACCCAGCCGCACCCATTTGCACATACCTGAGTGACCCATTCGCCTTCACCACCCATCGCCCCGGCACGGACGTGCCACTGCACGGAGTGTCCGGCCAATCCTGGTTTTTGAGAATTCTCAAAAACCAGCTAGTGTCCGGCCAATCCTGCACCACACACACACACCCTTCACTCATCTGCACCCATTTGCACATACTTGAGTGACCCATTCGCCTTCACCACCCATCGCCCCGGCACTGACGTGCCATTGCATGGTTGCACCCCAAACATCACACGCTTCACCCATCTGCACCCAGCCGCACCCATTTGCACATACCTGAGTGACCCATTCGCCTTCACCACCCATCGCCCCGGCACTGACGTGCCATTGCATGGTTGCACCCCAAACATCACACGCTTCACCCATCTGCACCCAGCCGCACCCATTTGCACATACCTGAGTGACCCATTCGCCTTCACCACCCATCGCCCCGGCACGGACGTGCCGTTGCATGGAGTGTCCGGCCAATCCTGCACCCCCCGGATGCACACACACCCCTCTTCACCCAGCAGCACCCATCTACATACCTGAGTGACCCATCTGCTTTCACCACCCATCGCCCCGGCACGGACGTGCCATTGCACGGAGTGTCCGGCCAATCCTGCACCCCCTCCTGCTCCTCCTCCCTCTCCCCCAATCCCTCCCTCTCCCCCAACCCCTCCCCCTCCCCCGCACCAGTCCCCCCACTTTCCCCGCCTGCTGCTTCTGGGTACGCGGCGGTTGTGGTGGTGATACGTCTGCTGCTGTCCCCTGTGCTGCTGCTGCTGCTGCTGCTGCCAACGCCGTTGCTAATGCCAAGGGTGCTAATTCTGGCCAGTGCCTCGGCACGAGGCGTGATTGTGATGGGCCAGGAGGCGAGGCTGTGCTGGTGCGTGCGATTGAAGTGGTGCGCAAAGGAGGCGGAGAAGTTGAGATTGGCGCACCCCACGTGCAGCGTCGCCCTGGGGGGTCAGTGGAAGGAGGAGAGGGGGGGGTGGGGAAAGGGGGGGGAGGGGGGCGGGATGGGGAAGGCTGGGTGCAAAGGTGGCGGAGAAGTGCAGTGTCGCCCTGAGAGGGGGGAGGATTGGGGAACCATGGGAGGATGCATGAGAAAAGCATGGGCGAAACAGGGAGCGAAGCAGGGGGCGAAGCATGGGGGAAGCAAGGGGGGCAAGCATGGGAGAGACATGGGGAGAGAAACGCAAGCGAGGGTGGAAGGCGTTGGGTGCAAAACAAATGTTGGGAATCTACACGAGGTTCAAAGGGGTTGTGAGGGATTTGAGGCGGTGCAGGGAAAACAACAGCTGGAAAGATTGGTGAGTAGTAGATCAACTACCTCACTTCGTGGCGCTTCGAGATAGGCTCACCAGTAATTGCCGGGGTCCCAGACGCGGTACGACACTCTAAACTCCGTGCAGTGCGGAGGGTCTAGACACCTAATGTCCCCGTGAGCTAGCGCGATGCCTCTTAGAGTCAGAGCTAAGTCGCGCTTCCACCAGCTCTCCTTGTCCGCCTCCAGCACGTGCGCCCATCGCGCGGGCGCGCGCACGGACACGCGGAAGGAGCAGCGCTGCCCGCGCAGACACGTGGCGCAACCTGAGCCGTGGATCACCACTCCCGCGGGGGACGAGGATGAATAGTCTGCGGAAAAACATGGATACGAGAGGCAAGAGAGGGGGAAAGGGTGGTCGCATGAAAATAATATTTTTAGGTGCTGCAAAAATCCCGACGGAGGAAGCGCGCATAGTTTGCGGAGTCATATGAATATGAGAAGGGAGGGGGTAGGGAGAAACGCATGAGAGCGCTAATGGTGGGAAATGGGCCGTTGCTGCTTTGAACGTCGGCCGCACACCTACCTCGTCTGCGATTAGCGTAAATCGGAAGGCGATGAGAGCACATGTCGTTCAGCATACTCGTCATCGTTCTTTTTACTTTGTTACTGAGACGTCTCACAACTCATACTTTCCATGCTATTAAGAATTACCTCTTTATGTGGAGCCTAAAAATCACGCAGCTCATTTCCATGCTACTCGAAATCTTACCTCCTGACGACGTCCAGCATACTCGTCGTCGCCTCAGCGGCGCTACGCTGCCATCGGAGACGCCAGCGGCGGTAGCGTCAATCGTGGCGGGTGCACTGCTTTGGAGCACGGCGTCACTACGAGGAGGTTGAGGGGAGGTTGGCGGAAAAGTGCGGGGAGGTTGCGCACGTGGGAGGAAAATTGGGGGCAAGGGAGGGGAGCATGCGGATGAGTGAACAAGAAGAAAGCATACGGAGCAAAGTTTCAGGGACTATCGTCTGCAATCGGCTTGACAAGGCACCTTGAGCAGCCAAATCACATGAGTATGAGACGGACGATTAAAAAAAACAAAACAGAAAATCTAGGGAGCCTGAAGGCTGGGTTAGGTCTGACACGCGTAGCAGCTAACCACGTACTTGAATGGGCTCACGGCGGAATCTCCAGTTTCGTCTGAAGCGTGGGCGACAAGCAGCGACTTTCGCAGCTGCATGGTAAAAAGAGGGCTCCATTCGCCGCGTAGCCTTCCGCTCGCTCCCCCTGCTGCCGCCAATTCCGCTCCCGCATCAGAGTTGGTGACCCATGGCGGTAGCGATTCGGCTATAACGAGTACGAGGAGGCACAGGTTGACGGAAACGAGCACGTAATGAAACCAGTCCATGGAATACCCCATTCGATGGCTCCTCTCCTCGTTTGTAGATCCTCCCGGTTTAATCCCGAGAGCCGTCAACATGTGCGAAAATACACGAGAGACGCGTGAGAGGGGTGACGCTGAGGACGCTGGCGACGGTACGGGGAGTGCATGCGACGATCGCGAACTGAGCAAAGATTCGTGCGACACAGAGTCCACAACTGGAGTACGTGTTTCTAGACCGATCGAGTGGTACCCGTGTCCGTTCGACCTACCCATGACTCCTACCGGGCACCTCTTCTGAGCAGAGAAAGAATGGCGCCTTGAGAATCAAGGAACACAAGTAATACGTCAATCAACAAAGCAATCTTCTTTCTTCGCGAGGTTCAGGAACGAGTTCCTGGTTCTTAGAAATGACTCAAGCATTTAAACGAAACAGATAACTGGCAAGGAAGGCAACTGATAGTAGATTAGTAGGGCTCGAATCCAAGCTACAATCAGACAGTTGGTGCACGTGTTCTGCCTTGGTTTACCGAGCTGGAATCCCTCGGGCAAGCTCTTGGTTTCCTAGGGAATTCCGACGGACAGAACTTCCTCCCTCCATCGCTACAACCTCCCTGAGGGAAGAACCAAACCAACATCGGCGCGCCGCCCAATTATCGAAGCGCTAACCGTATGGCGACAGCGAAAATCTACACCGTCGAAACCGACCAGCTCTGTTGGGGTATTACAGTTCAAGGGCAAGGATGACTTGACGACCTGGATGGAACCAAGTTGAAGGGATGCAGAGGGGTCTTGATTCGTCGGCTTGAAAAACAGTTCGGGCAGACGTAGCGAAACGCAGGGAACATCTACACGCAAAAACCGATTATTTTGCCGTACAGTTGTCACCGGGAGCAGTCCCGTGTTTGGTGCGATACCAGCTTGGTGCCGGAAATGCATTTCTCGGGCACATTGTAAACGTGCCCAGAGACTGGCGTGGCCTGGGGCTTTTGCAATGGATAGCCCATCAGCTTGGCGAAACCGCACAGTACTGCTTTCCACCACCTGCCACGCGTTGCTATTGGTTAACTTGGCCCCTGCTGGTTCGGTATACCAAGCCTACTCACCAGCTTTGTTTTGGCAGGAGGGTCCGTGAACGGATGCTGGACACAGCGACGTGCTACCGTCGACACGGAGGACGTGATTCGTGCTGTTGCGGCTGCGATCGACGCGGCAGTCACCAAGTCTGGGATGGCGCCTTCCACGGGCTAACGAAATTGCGAAGCGCGTAGGCATTTACGCATAGTTTCGCGAGTGTTACACGTTTCATCAACATATTGTCAGACAGTTAGACTCGCTGTAAGGAATTTTCTCGAATTCCTTATCGGGGTTGACTGCTGCGCGTACAACCCGATTTTCGGAGTTCGCACGTTCGGGCGATTTCCACGCTGCCGAGGCTCCCCGCGTCGCCTTCGGCATTCCCATCGCCAAACCTGCACCCAACCTCGCTCGCCCACAGCCTCGATATTCGTTTACCTGCGCACTCTCTTTTACAACTCATAACACCTGGTATCAGAGCTACTTTCCTAGTTCACCCCGCTTTTCGAGGGTAGTTTGGTGGCATAGGGTGTGGTTGGTTTAGTGACTACACGACGGTTGGCTGCAGGGATTGTTAATTCAATCCTGCCCGACTCCGATAGTTCGTGTTTTCACTTGCCGGGCGGCCACGGGTACCCGACTGCCCACCAGACGTAGTGCTAGGCACATGGATCAGGAGGCTGTTAACCGGCTGATGGCGCAAGTGGCAGAAATGCAGAAGGGCATGGAATCACTAATGGCGGAAGTGACAACACTGAAGGAGGAAAACGCCGAGCTACGCCAGACGCGAGGTGAAGCGCGTCAGACGTCGCCTGTGGACGAAGGCGAGGGCAACAGTCAGGCGATGAGCAATCCGCTGGATGCGCTCACACGTGACTTCGAAGAAGAAGACAGGCAGCGAGCGGCAGCAGCGCCAGTTGCAGTTACGACGATCAAGATCAAGCCCGTCAACCCGCCCCCGTTTAATCCTACGGACAAGACGACTACAGTGAAGGGGTGGCTGTTCGGTGTCGAGGTCTTCTTCACGGCAGCCGGCGTTAACGACGACGCCACGCGTATTAATTACGCGGTTTCGCTTCTTCGAGGGGCTGCGCTTGAATGGTGGCGCCGAACCTTGGAAACAGGGACGCCGACAGGTGTGACACATGCGGCAGACGGGACCTCTACAGTGGTTCATCAAACGGCAGAACCTATCTTCGGGGTGACCAAGATTCGCACGTGGAAGGAGTGGGGCGCAGCCTTGCGAGATCGCTTCGAGCACGTATCCGCCTCGGAGCAAGCTCGCATGAAGCTGCGTGCATGGTCGCAGATGGCATCTGTCCAAGACTACACAGCGTCATTTATGGGCCTCGCCGACCAAGTGGACGATATGTCGGAAGCGGAGCGGTTGGATAAATACGTAAGCGGACTTAAATACGAGATACAGTACGAGGTTCGCAGGGGCCGCCCGACATCATTTCTCGAAGCTGTACGGCTGGCGGAGTCAACAGATGCGCTGATGCAGTACGCGAGAGCAGCTTCCAGGGATGGGAGAAGCTTTCGTGGCCAGACCCATCGGGCCTCGATGAACGCTGTCCATACACCCGACCAACCTCCTAGAGGTCCGTGTTTTCGGTGTGGGAAGGTGGGTCACTACAAGAAAGACTGCCGGGAGAAAATGCCGCTGACAGGGGACGACAGGAAGGAGCAGGGAAATGGGAAGAGTCAGTAAGTAACGGGCCCTTTACTGACTATGCTCCGTCGCCCGAACACCACCATCCCCACCGAGTCGTGGTTCCGATTCATGCAATCGATCGCACTCGGCCGAATAACGGGGATAATCATGTGGATCACCCTGTGCTGGTCGCTGGCAAGGTGGGGAAACATCATCTGAAAATGTTCGTCGATGGAGGGGCCAGCCATAGCCTCTTCAACTTGGCGAGCGCAAAAAAATGCAACATGCAACTTGACAGGTGTCTGCCCGAAATCGACGCACGACTCGTGGATGGGACGCCTCTGGCGATAACGGAAGAAACACGGACGGTGCGGATCGAGTGCGGCGAAGATTTCGGCTTCAGCATGAAGTTCCTCGCGACGACGCTGGATGGCTGCGACGTGCTGCTGGGACGTGATTGGCTGCGACGACACAACCCCGTCATCGACTGGACAACGGGATCGTGCTGCGTCAGCAAGCACGAGGGGCTAATTAAGTTGCCTGCATGGACACCTGACTACATCCAAGCCCCGTGCGTCAAAGCCATCACCATCGCCCACCACTTCAACAGGGGTGCGCAGCTGTTCGCCGTCTGCTTGCGCGAGTTGGCAGTTGACACCGACGGAAAAGACATCGAGAAGCTGTGTGCAGCTGTACCTCCGGATTTAGCGGAGCTGATTCGACAGTACCCCGACATTTTCCCGGACGATCTGCCACCTGGGCTGCCACCCGAGAGACCCGAAGACCATAAAATCCAGCTGGAACCTGGCGCGCAACCTACTGTTCGGACACAGTGGCGGTTGACCCAGCCGGAACTCGAGGAGCTACGCCGACAAATTGACGCACTGTTGGAGAAAGGGTTCATTCGGCCGAGCACCTCCCCGTTCGCGGCACCGATCCTGTTCACTCCGAAGAAGGACGGCGGGCTTCGCATGTGCATCGATTATCGCGCGTTGAACCGGGTGACCATCAAGTCTCGCTACCCAATCCCACGCACCGACGACCTTCTCGATCAACTTCGCGGCGCTCGCTACTTCTCGAAAATCGACTTACGCGGTGGTTACCACCAGATTCGGGTCTTCGCCGACGATTGTCACAAGACCGCGTTTCGTACACGCTACGGGAGTTACGAATTCACGGTGATGCCTTTCGGCCTCACGAACGCGCCTTCGACATTTCAACTGACCATGAACAGGGTTTTTCGCGATCTTCTAGACCGATGTGTCATCGTCTATTTGGACGATATCCTGATTTTTAGCAAGACACGGGAGCAGCATCTCCGCGACCTGGACGCAGTTTTTAAGCGGTTGCAGGAGAACCGACTCATCACCAAGGGCTCTAAGTGCGAGTTTTTTAAGCAGGAGTTGGAGTTTTTAGGGCACGTCATCTCCCGCGACGGCATCAAAATCGACCCGGCGAAGATTAAAACCATACAGGAGTGGAAGGCCCCGACTAATGTCACGGAGCTTCAGAGTTTTCTGGGGTTCGT